GTGCGAGTGGGTCCCGCTCCCCTCCCGGGGCTCCGGCACAGCTGCAGCCGGGAATGTGACCACGGCGACTTCGGTGCCTGCTTTGCCCATCACCACTGGGAAAGCTTTTCCATCTCTCCTGCTTGAGCATCCCTGTTGCAATGCTGGAGTGCTCCAAACACCACTACTGTGCTCTTAATGGAGGTCCTGCCCAGGTAAAGAGTCTGGGGAAACAGTGCAGACACATGAATGAGGGTGGAATTGCACCACCAGCTAATTCAACAGAAAAATCCTTGGCATACAGGTCTGTGGGATGTTCATGTGTTGGTATATTCATCCATCATCCATCCATCACCATCCATCTCCCTCCCCCAGCTGGAGGTACCTGCTGCTCATCAAAGCAATGGAGGAGCCCTCCTCTCCCTCATCCTCGGTTTACATTCCTATTCCTGTAATAGCTATCTTGGGATAGTTCTGGAATTAAAAATGTTTCAAATAACAGAGGAAAACAAGGATGAGTAAGTGCTGCAGTAGAAATGTAACTCCTTGAGTAATAGATGTGGTGAAATGTCATTTCTTTTCAACACTACTCTGGTGAATTTTCTTTATCTTCACCCATGGCTGCTGGAGACAAAGCCCTGAGCTTTTGGGAATCCTATTGAAATGCTTAATTAAGGCAGGACAAAACAAACTGCTTAAACTAAGCAACACTGAATCCCATGCCACAGACATTGCTGAGGGTGAAATGTCTGCCCATTGCAGACATTTTCTGTCAAGGGTGGGTTTCAGGAACCTTTCAGTGCCCTTATGAAGTTTTAAATTGTTGATTGTCCCTTAAAGTCATGAGCAGCTTCCACAGCACCCGGCAGCAGCTGGTGAGTTAAACTGTCACAATGGAAATCTTGTGTAGCAATAAGGTCACTTAGAAATAAGCCTTCTTAACTCAGTAATCCAAATCAGGGTTGGCTTGGTGTGTGAAAATTTGCAGAGTCCTTCATGATGGCAAAGAGAGATTTAAAAATAAAGCTGTGTGGGATCAGCAGAGCTTTCTCTTGGACTAGGCACTCACTACTGCATTTTTCAGCCTGAAAAGAATCACAGAAACTGGTTCCTGAAAGTAAGAGAGGAGATTAGCAGCTGTATCACTGGAGGTGGCCAGAAATCCCCAGATATGTTCCATTGTCATGCACATCCCTTACAGCCCCTGTGTGCCAGGGCTCTGGTGTATTCCAGCGCCTCCCAGTTCCCCCCGGAGCACAGCTCTCCATAGCCAGCCTTGTTCCCTATGACTTTTCCCTACAGAATGCCAGAGGAGGGCAAGGCTCTCCCCAAAACAAAAATGTGCTGCAGAAGCACAAGTGGCTGTGCTATCCCCAGGACACAGGTGATGCAACCAGGGGGTTGCTCCCCTTGGGAAGGAGCACATTCCTCCAGGCAGGGCTGGTGGAGGCAGCAGCTTGGTCCTGCTCCAGTGGGTTGTCCAGCCTGTGATTCCCGTTTCCCCTCAGGCTGCCTCTCATTAGCATGGATCGGGGGAAGGGCATAAAAGGCTCCAGCTCATTTTGAGTCTGGAAAAACTTCACTTCAAAATGACAACCCAAGTGTTCTGGCTCCTCTGCTTTGCCATTAGATCATCTTCTGGTAAGTCTGTTACCTCTGCAGCGGGGCTGGGGGCACGTCTGAGGCTGAGGACATTCCTACAAACCCGGGCAGCCTGCAGCCTCTGCAGCAAGCAAGGGCTCGAGAAAGAAACATTTCAACGTGTTTGTGGGATGGGAATGTAGATTGCAATATTTAATTTGCCAGCATTGGGAAGAATTAAGAGCACCTGGCAGAAGCAGGCAGGGAGCTGGTGCTCCTCTGTCCCGCCAGCCACCACTGGCAGGTGAAGTTGGATTTGCTTCTGCATCTTGGATTTTTATAATTTGTATGTGACCTTTCTCTTTTAGTCCCCTTCACCCGTAACTCCAGGTGTCTGACTGGCTTTAACATGTTCAGTGTGCCCTGTGTATCTGCAGCAAGCTGTCCTGAATGGATTTATTTGGGTTTCAGTGCCTCACTGACAGAACAGAAATAGCATTTACATCTGTTCCACTGAGATTTGGTTATGTTGCAGTCATATTTCTTAGGCTGCAACAACTAGACAGGAATATGTTGTTAGAGGATGAGGAACCTCAAGGTCCTGAACAGATTGAGCAGAGAAAAATGAACTATTTCTTGATACAATCTGTGACTGAGAAGGCGTGATAAAGTGGTAGAAGAGTTTTATTTACACACCCAAGTCTGAGGCACCTGTTCAGAGGGCACAGCTTCACACTGAACCATCTCCAAACCCCCCTTGCCTGCTGCTTTCAGCAGCTTGGACCTCTTCCACCCCTCTCTCCATGGACATTCTTTAGACTTTACGTGTGGCCAGCCCAAATATCAGGGAATCTTTCCCATGACAGCAGCTGGTGAGAGCACACAGGGGGAGAAGTGGCAAGGTCAGCAGCTGAGTCAGTTACAGGAGATAAACCAGGACGTTGTTCATCTGTGTGTGTCAAATCTCTCTTTTCACACAAGGAGCTGGGATCAGCCTCCTACACAGGATAACCAGGGCCGTGAGCACCACAGAGGCTGTGTGTGGGTGAGCTGTGTGAAAACTCTGCTGGCTCGCTCCAAGCCTGCAGGGAAGGTCTAAAGGAAAAGGAAAATAGAGTGCCAGGGGAAATTTCTCTCCTGCCTGGCTAAACATTTTGCTTGTTTTTCTTTGTGAGGTTCAAAGGATCAAGGTGAAGGTATAAATGAAATTGTGGGTGATTGCCCAGCTTGTGTGAACAGTGCCATTAAGTTATTTTTCCCCTGGATTTCCAGACACTTCCTCCCTTTCTCAAATGTCCTCTCAAATTAAGCAAAGCTGTGAAATAATTGTTACTAGCAGCACTAGCTTAATCACTGCTACTATGTGCTCGAGTCAGAGATCCAAAACTGTGTATAAAAAACCTTTCCAGTAGCATCCAAAGCTGCTGAAGAGTCTGGATGACATTGTCAACAGGCATCCCATGGATGGGAAAACCAAAGAGTTCTGCTGTCATGGTCTCTTAAACAAGCATCCCAAATGGCAACGTGAACCTTGTTTCCTCAGATGCTCCCTGGAGATTCAGGGGTTTGAGAAAATGGTTTGTTTTTAATTTGCAACAATAATAAAGTAAAAATGCAAATCTCCTGTTTTGCTCACACAGCTGCATTCCCTGTACTGGACCTTCAATATCTGAGTAGAGGAACGAGGAGCTCTACTGTGCTTCATCTATTGAGCTATTTATTAGTTTTATATCTTGTTGTTGAAGGCCTCACTTAGAGCCTCAAATCTTCCCTCAAATCTGGATTAGAACCTCAAAACTTCCCATTCGGAAACACTTGGAATAAAAGACTTAAAACATTGATTTTCCCTCTCTTTTTTTTGCCCGTAGGATCCCTGCTCTATGCTGAGAAACCCGGCCAGGCTCTGAGCAAAGATGTTTTCAGTGCCGCAGCTGAGGTTCGGGTGAAGGAGCCAGCGCGGGGCACGGGCAGTGCCAGCGGGGATGCCAGGGAAGGGCGGCTCTCGGGAATGCCCCCCGGG